TGTCCCAGAAACAGCTCTATCAATATATGACTAAGTTTAGTTCTTCGTTCCCGTGAATTTTTTATTATTATTATTTTTTAAAGATTTCTTTTAACTTTCAAATTTTATTTTCTATTTTTATAAATAAAGAATTATTTATAAACTTAATTTTTAAAAACTAAATAATCATTATACCAGAATTAACTAATTTGATGTGATTTTAAATAAAAAATTAAAATTACTTGTAAAGTAAAAATGGAATATAATTTGGTCTAATTTGATGAAATTTAAATAATGAAAGGCATTATAATTACGTTTTAACCTTTACCCTATTTTTGAACGACAGACCGAAACAAAGACATCATGTCGTTCAGGCAGAAATTGGGCTAAGCCCATCCTTAGAAAACGGCCCAATAACGAAATATGAACGTTATGTCGTCCAGTTATCAAGGCAAATTATAAAATCATTGTCAGAAGAAGGGGGATTTGAACACACGCCCTTCTCGGAGACCAGAACTTGGGCACCACTCGGCCATCCTGAACGATATTTTACATATAAATCTTCAATAGTTTTAATAATTTATGCATTATATATTTCATCGATTTTGTTGGCTTTTCGCTTGGATTTGGCGGTTCTTCGGAGATAGTGAAATCTTCAGTCTTCGTTGTGTAATCTTGTACTCTTCCTTCCTACCACCGTCGCCCCCAATTCAATTCAGTTCGACCTGCTCCAGCCGTAGAGCGACGGAGGGAAGCTGATGTTGACGCGTAGAATTCCTTCCGTGGCAGTTTATCTCCCGCAAGCTCTGCCATGGCGTCGTGGGCCACCTCATTCAATCAACACCAGGACGCCGCTTGAATTCCACTCATTGCTCTCTTTTTGCCCTAAAACTTGTTTACTTTCCTTTTGTTCCGCTTCTCAATTCTCCTCCGAAGTTGCTGAACCAACTCATATGGATGATTCCTCGAAGCGTGTAAGATAACGTACCAATCCCTTCCTTATAACTTTTTCTGTGTGGCCATTGTCAAATCATGCAAAATCCAGAGCTTAATTCCTGTTATTTATTTGCTTAACTCTTTCCTTGTGGCTAGAATGAACATAGAATGAACCGCAAAAGCTCAATGTGTGTTAATGGTATGTTTAATCTTTATATATGTTCTTAACAGTAATGTTTTGCCTCTCCATGTTGATACTTGTATTGGATTCAACTACAAAACTTACTATATCTGTCTCATTTTGTACTGGATTGTATACAAGTTATTGTAACTTCTTAAGTCCTTTAATGAAAATATAGATATATTCTGTCCGTTCTCTTGGTTTGGGATTTCTACGTAGTTTTGTAATGTTTGACAGGTATCCTTGTCCTTGCAGGGTTCCCTGAAACCTGGGTTATATATAGTTAGCACACCAATTGGTAATCTTGAAGATATCACCTTACGGTATGAAATTTTGATAGCAAGTCCCAACATTAATGTTGTGAGATCCCATATCGGTTGGATAGGGGAACGAAGCATTCCTTATAAGGGTGTGGAAATCTCTCCCTAGTAAACATGTTTTAAAACCGTGAGGCTGATGACGATACATAATAGGCCAAAGTGGACAATATCTATTAGCGGTGAGCTTAAGTTGTTATAAATGATATTAGAAGCCAAACACCGAGCAGTGTGCCAGCGAAGATGCTGGGCCCCCAAAGAGGGTGGATTGTGAGATCCCACATCGGTTGGAGAGGGGAACGAAACATTCCTTGTAAGGGTGTGGAAACCTCTCCCTAGTAGACTTGTTTTGAAATCATGAGGCTGACGACGATACGTATTAGGCCAAAGCGGACAAAATTTATTAGCGGTGGTTTGGGCTGTTATGAATATTACTTTCTTTTCAACATATGTACATATACACTGAAAGTTTGGCAACCAACACGAATATATATATATTTTTTTTCTTTTCAAAATGATATGTACACATATAAACGCATAATTTGGAAAATGGACTTTATGTTTGTGATATTTCTAACTGAGTCACTACCTTAAGTAGGATACTAATTTCCATGTTTCAAGATTTTCGCCTTTATATTGGTCCTTATTTCAATTGTTCAGTTGTTTTGAATAATCAGTCTCTTTATCCCCTTAAAATTCTATAATACAGTGCCCTACGTGTCTTAAAATCAGCAAACGTCATTCTTTCGGAGGATACAAGGCACTCAGGAAAGTTGCTTCAACATTTCAGTATTAAAACCCCTCTTGTAAGTTTGTTGATTCGTTTGTTTGCTAATATATCAGTTTTCTTTTCGTTCTCCATTTGTTCTGATGAAGACTTTTAGATTTCAGTTGAGTTTTCACAAATTCAATGAGTCTCAAAGGGAGCAAACAGTGTTGAAGAGGTTAAAAGAGGGTGAAATTGTTGCACTAATTAGTGACGCGGGGACGCCAGGCATTAGTGATCCTGGTACTGAGTTGGTGAGCATGCTCTAAAGAAATTCTTAATTTAGTCCTTTCATGATGGCTCTGTTAAGCATATATCACTTCTTTGATCTACATTTATGGGGCTCATTTTCAATGTGCTTCTTTTGTAGATTGAACATTATTGTGTCATAAAAATTGGAATTATGATTGTTCTTCCTTAATATTTTAATGATTTAATTATGAATACAGGTAAGATTATGCGTCAATGCAAGCATACCCGTTGTTCCTATTCCTGGACCCTCGGCTGTCATTGCTGCTCTTTCTGCCTCTGGCCTGTCGACCAATGAGTTTACATTTGGTAAAATTTGTACCGGTACTTGTAGTTGTGCTGTGAGAGCATCTTTCTTTGAGATTTTTTTGGCCCTATGGCTATGGCTTCCTTCAGGCTCACTACAGTTTCTCAATAAGTATATTTGTGCAGTTGGATTTGTTCCTAAGCATGCTGCATCTAGAAGAAAGAGGCTGATGGTTTCAGCAAATGAGGAGGCGACACAAATATTCTATGTTCCTCCGCACAAAGTTAAGCAGTTTCTCGAGGAAACTTCATCATTATTTGGTGAATCAAGGTACTTCAGATATGTCTATCTCCAATCTGTTGTACTTATATATTTCTTCCAATGTATCAGTGCAGTTCCACTTCCACTATCTTCTTCTATCTATATAATTCATCTGATGACATCTGATTTGGAATATTTGAAGGAATAGATTGTATAAAGATGCTCGTTAATCGTGATCATCTTAAAGCAATCATTTCATTTATGTTAACATTGTGTTGGGAAAAATAATTCTGGTTCGAGTGCTTGAAGAGAGTAGGCAAACTCACTAGTTCCGCTGTTAAAGCTTGCACCGTGCATTATTCTAGTAACAGATCGTCTAAACTCATATTATGTTAGATCTCACCTCGAATAGAGAAGGGAACAAAGCATTTCTTATAAGGGTGTGGAAACCTTATTCTAGTAACAGATCGTCTAAACTCATATTATGTTAGATCTCACCTCGATTAGAGAAGGGAACAAAGCATTTTTTATAAGGGTGTAGAGACCTCTCCCTAACAGACGTGTTTTAAAAACTGTGAGACTGATTACGATATGTAATGGGCCAAAGCGGACAACATTTGCTAGCGGTGGATTTGGGCTGTTACAAATGGTATCAGAGCCAGACACCGGGTGGTGTGCCAGCGAGGATGTTGGATCCTTGAGGGGGGTGGATTGTAGGATCTCACATCTGTTGGAGAGGAGAACAAAGCATTTTTTATAAGGGGGTGAAAACCTCTTCCTGACATACGTGTTTTGAAAAACTGTGAGGCTGACGGTGATACGTAACTAGCTGATGGACTTGGGCTGTTACATATTATGATTCAAATTACTTTAATGAACAAGCAGACTTGTCTTCTGTTTGTAGATGGTTTTATCAATGCCAACTTGATGAATATTTTTGTTAACTGTTTTGCAGGAAATGTGTTATAGCTCGGGAAATGACCAAGATACACGAGGAGGTAACTTTATTCCTCACCGTGTTCCTTTGTATCTTTAGTCGGTAGGGTTCCCAATACTTCTGCTTACTGCCGACCACTTCTTTGCATTTGACAAAAATTTCTTCTGCACACTGTTACTTAATTACCCCGTATGATGTCATTCTACCAATTTCCTCTGTGCTCTATTGAGTTCCTTGGTTGCAACAGTTTTGGCGGGGTACCCTGGCTGAAGCTAAAGAATACTTCTCGTTGCACCAAACGAAGGGTGAAATTACGCTGCTGATTGAAGGAAAGCTAAATTCCGAAGTCGAAACTCCATCGGAATCACAGCTGGAAAACGAGTTGGAAGAATTGATCTCCAGTGGGCATAGGCTTTCTATGGTAATGGCTTGAATTGGACTATGTTAATTGTTTAGTATAGGGATGCCATTACTTCAAAGTCTAGATATGCTTATTATCATGTTATTGAATGGGACCGATATCAGGTGGCAACAACCAAAATGAATCTTTTGTTCAAATTCAAAGACTAAATAGGCATTTCGAATGTTTAGCAAATAAATTAAAACGAGTCTCGAAAGTTTAGAGATGAAAATAGTGGTTGAACCAATATTTTATTCCTTGAATACTAACAAACTTCTTTTCTTTTTCATGAAGGCTGTCAAATTGGTCGCTATCAAAACGTCAGCCAGTAGGAAAACTGTCTATTCAATTGCATTACGAAGATTCGGGAATCAGCTTGGAACGGAGAACGATTCCTGCAAATAATGTCTCTGTAGCATGCTTGCTAGAGGTGCAAGTGGTTAATTGCTCATATTGATTTCTCTGGGGTACCATCTGAAGAACAACTTGCCTTTCCATATTCTTCATTAGCAGCTGTTGCGTCTTGTTCTAATCGTTTCAGTAGATATTGTTCGGGTCGGTAGGAAAAAGATGTATGATTTGCGTTGGAATATTGGTTCGTCTAGGATACAGACATGGTAGGGACGCATTTATTAAAATATATGAAGTGTGACACACGTCTGCTGTTCTAACAAGTGTGTCTAATACCGGAGATGCGTGCTACTGACTTGAGCGCTCACTGATATGAAAAAATACTAGTGAAACATGTTCAACGAGTATCGGAACGTGTGACATATGGTCGACACAGCTACATTAACACAACTTTAAGTGTTCATGCATGGTTATTAGGTGGCTTTCTGAAATCTCATCTGAGATTTCGAATATGCTATTCTAGTACCAAACTGCCGATGATCGGAAGCCAGAGGCAAGGGACGGGACGGAGGGAATCCGTTTCAGCAGTGATTATTTGTGCAGTGTTTTGATGTCCATGTTGCTGGAAATCCATCGTCCTTGCGCTATTCTCAAGAACATTTGATTGATTCTTCTGCCCTTTCTTTCCACTTCACTATAAACATTTACTCCTTTCATAATTCATTACAGTATATTTGTATCTGCTGCCTTTCTTGCTGTTTTCTCCTAACAATTCAGGTCTCGTGGATCACCGGGATACCGCCATGTCTACCGACTTGGAGGGTGAAAATATCCTCTGCCCGGTGGCTAGAATGTGGTGTGGATCGAACTTCATCTTCCTCCGCTGAAACTCCGGCCACTTATCACCGAAGTGCTCCGCCCACTCCTCCTCCATCGTGTAGTGAGGCAGGTACTGTTTCACTTCAATTCCCTCATTAGAACAGAACGCTATTATCTGATGGTTCTGATTGCTCAAATACTCCAACGACTGTGTTTCTTCCCCATTATCGATCGCTGAGCGCAGCAACGCCACGAGGTAGAAGACATCGTCCTCTGGGGTCACGGCAGAGCTCCTCGGGTCCCATCTACACAACAAAAGAGTGGAACCAAGTGTCATCAAGAGAGGTATGGACCCTGGACTTGATAATTCTAAGATGTAGTGAAATAATGTCTCCATTACAACACTGCAAAGTTGAGTACGTCAACTGGGACGATGGTAACATCCCCATCGGACCCCATCGGACCCCATCGGAGGGGTCCAACGGAGAAGATCTCCTGACACCAGAATCTTCTCCCATGGGACAATCACCACCCTCCAAGCTGGCTAAGCTTGTACTTTGTGGAATTTTTAAAGAAAAATTACATATTCTTTTTAAAACCCGAGTCGGCTTTACGGTAAATAAGATTTTTGAGGTTAGAGATTCAAACAATTGGATGTCATTTTCGCGGACTTCTTAACCTACAAATGAGAAAAAAAAAAAAGGAATAAAAAAGAATAGGGAACATACTTATGCTTGTTCATGGGGTAGATGAGGATGGGTCCACTGGTATTATTTCCCAAAATGCCCTTGAAAACACCTCGATCAAAATCAGCAATTCTCGACTTCGGAACAAAGAGATTCAGCCATGGATGCGGGACATCCCACAGCCCCTTGGATTGGAGCTTCAACTCGGCCGTATGAACCCGGTCGAGAAAGTCCACATAACCTAGGTCTGTTGTGAAAACCGACTCGGGTATGTAGTCGAGTTCCTTCAGCAGCGCCTCAACTTCCTGATTAAACAAAGTAGTTTCGTCAGCTACTATATTTTATTCCAATCACTGTTAACAAGAGAATAATTTGGGAGCTGAAAGGCTGTGGATTTAGTGTTATTATTATCCTTAAAGCTATGTTCTTTCTCTGTCTTGGGATTTTATAGAATAATTGATTCGCATAAGATCTTCCATCTATTATTCTTCTTCTTTATTATTATCAAACATATTTTAAAACAAAAACGATACCGAACCGAACCAAAACATCGGTGAATTATTGAACACGAACAACAAACCACAAGGAAAGACAAAGATGGCAGTGGAAGATTCCAAATCATATTTTAGCAAATTTTCACTAAATTTATAAATATTTATTTAAATTCAACTTTTCTTGTTTTTATTTTTTATTTTTTATTCTTTAGAAAAAAAAAGTTGAAAAATAATTGAATAAATTATACAACCATCTTGGCCCACCCTCCCTTAAAACTCTCTCTCTCTCTCTCTCTCTCTCTCTCTCTCTCTCTCTCTCTCTCTCTCTCTCTCTATATATATATATATATATATATATATATATATATTCAAACAAAAATTAAAAAAAAAAAAATAGAGAAAAAGGCAACCCATTTGAAAAATCAACGAACCAAATACAGCTTGCAAAACATCCGAGCTTAAATTCAACTAGTTAAAATATTATATCTTTGACTAAATAGATCATGGGTTCAAATTCTCGTTCCTTGTTTCCGCTCTAGCTAGCTTAGATAGCTCATGTTTGTATAGTTTTTTCGATTAAAGAAGACAATGGCAATGATCGAACATGGTAATGATTAAATGATGATGATGATTAACCTGATCAACGGTGAGAGATTGGGATTCATGGTAGTTTTTGGTGATCTCCAAGCAGTATAAAACTCCCCCATCAGCCTTCAAGGAGGAGATTTTGACCGGGTTGGCCGGTGAGAAAAACGACGATCTCCAATTATTGATCAACCCTTCATCAACGATCACAAACCCCTCCACGTAATCAAATTTCTCATTCTTTGGTTTTGCATGCAGAGATATTAGCCGTTCTTGATCCCTAGTGAAGGCTGTGAAATTTGAGTATAATACTCTTATCCATCTCACCTGTCATTGCAAACTCAATTATTNAGAACATAGGTGTCTTGCCAAAAAAAAAAAAAAAAAAAAAAGATAGGATTTTTTTCTTTACCCGTTGAGGAGCTCGTTCAAGAACGATTCTCGCTCGTGTAATGATCCCGAATTGTCCTAATCCGCCAAGAACTCCGTGGAAAAGATCTGGGTTTTCCTCGTTCGAACATGTCGTTAGCTCCCCGTTCCCTGTTCTATCCGTTTGTATTAATTTTACGACCGACTAAAATATTAGAAGTTCAAATTTTGATGCATTTGCATTGGAGAGAAATGGACCTGTGACAACGTCGAGTTCAAGGACATTGCTGATCTGAGGACCATGGTTGAAGGCTTGGCCGCTGATTCCGCCGTTCGACAGTGTCCCGCCGACCGATAAATACAAGTAATCGGTCCACGATCTCGGTGCCAAGCCATACCGCAACGTAGATTTCAGTACATCAATCCACAATTCTCCGCCCCAAACATCCACAAACATTTCTTTCTCCGACACAATAGGCGGCGGTGGGAAATCTCTCCCGCCGTCTATGCTGCCAACGCCGCTGCTCATCTCAATCACTACCCCATTTCCGGTTTGCGCCTGTCCGTTTATCGAATGTCCGTGCCCTCTTGCCGACACCTTAAACCCACCATACTCCTCCGGCGTCGCCACCGCAGCACGGACCAATCGAGCGATATCATCAGCGGAGGCCGGGTGCAAGACGGCGAGAGGGGGGTTACGGGTCATGAGGCCAAAATCGATAGAGGCGGTCTCGACCGCGGAGGGGTCCATGGTGAGGAGGCCGTCAATTCCAAGACGGGAAAGCTCCACTGCCGGACCCATGTTGAGTCCGACGGTGGCCATCAAACGGCAGAAGGCAAAGGCCAATAGAAGCTTAGAAACCATCATTGCTGAATTATTATTAAACAACAATTTGAAATAGACGGCGGCGGCGGAGGCAATGGAACGGCGGTGGCGGCGGCGGTGGTGGTCGCAGTGGCAACGTTGCATGGGAAGGGAACAGCAAGAACCCAAAAAAAAACAATCTTGAATTGGAGAAAGATAGGACGGTTTGTGTGTGGTAACGTAAGACCATATATATATATATATATATATATATATATTTATTTATTTATTTATTGGCGCTTTAAAGATTTTTTGTACGCAAAAACATGCACTAAACAGATTCTTTGTCTTTATTTTTTATTTCTATGTTTTTTTAATGTTTTTTAATGTTTTTTTTAATGTTTTTTTTCTGGGAGAAGGGAAAGTCCCCAGAAAACAAACAGAAAAAGAACCCTTTAACCCAAAATAAAAAAAAATAATATATATATATATATATATATAAAAAAACAAGATTTCAATTTTTTTTTTAATTTAAATCAGATATATATTTTTGACTAGAGGTTTAAATCTCTCCATCGAACTTAAAAAAATATTAAAATTTTATAATAAATTTGAATGTCTAGTTCGAGTTGTTGAACATCTATATTTTTTTATATTGGTTGGACCATCGCTCTTTATTCATAATGTAATATTATTTATTATACTAAAGTCGAGCAAAATAAATATAATAATGAATATTCGAATTATCGAGTATAATATTATATTTTATTCGGTTGGTCTTATTCCTACGAAGGAATAAAGAGTAAGTAAAAGCTCCAAATGGATAAATGATTTAAATTCTTCAAAAATATGGTAAGTTGGAATTTGTTAAAAAGAAAAAAAAAATTGATTTTTTTTTTTAATTTGGTTAAGTAAGAGTCGGACACGTGGCATTTTCACGTGCAAGGATGAGGACGACACGTGTGATGTGGAGGAAACTGTGTAAAGAGGAAGATTAAAAGAGCGCTGCTACGGGCCCCACTCGTGGATATGGAGGATCTCCATTGGGGTACGAGTATGGGTTATTATCACATGTTTCCACAAGCACTGTAAACCTACTTTTTCCCCAATCACCCCTCGACACGTGGTTTTCAAATTACATAAAAAAATCCCTAAACTAAATTATTTTCATTATATAAGCCCCTATTATATTATACCCTCTCACAATCCCCCTGGAAGCAAAATAATTATTAAAAAAAAAAAAAAAAAAAAAAACAGTATCTAAGCCTAAGATTATTTTTTTATATATAATTAATTATGGGTTTTTTTTTTCTATATATATAATATTGAAATAATAAATTATTAATAATAATAATGTAATAAATTTGATGAGAAGTATTGGTGTGAATTGGGTGGGGCCCACAAGGGACAGAAGGAAAATGATTGGCCAATAAATGAGTGCTATGTTTTAATTCTCTTACCAAAAAGCATATGTGGACCACTAATAATTTATTGCCACGTACTTTTTTCTCTCTACGTGTCAAAAATTAATTGGATTTAAATTACGGTCTTGTTTATTTATTTTCACCCTTGATGAATGTAGATAAATTCCTTAAATTTACCATTCTATGTTACTCTTATTATTGGTAGGACTTTCATGCCAATTTAAGAAGAAATTTCATGTATTTCTTTATAAAGGATTTTATTGGAAAAAATCGTTTTTTCGATGTAATAGAAGTTGTTGTTATATTTGACATATATCGATAGCATCGGGAGTTAGGTAAACTTGTTTGGATACAGTGATGAGTATTAGTTTATATATCAACATATACGAACGTTGGAATGAGTTCATGTGAGATCTCACATTGGTTGAAGAGAATAACGAAACTTCTTTAGGAGGGTGTGGAAACCTCTCTAACAGATGTGTTTTAAAAACTTCGAGGGGAAGCTTGAAAGGGATAGCTCAAAGGGAACAATATCTGTTAACAGTAGGCTTGAGCTGTTACAAATGTTATTAGAGTCAGACATCAGGCGATGTGCCAGCAAGAAGGCTGAACTTTGAAGGGAGGTAGACACAGGGTGGTGTGCCGTAAGGACACTAGGTCCCGAAGGGGGGTGGGGATTGTGAGATCCCACATCGGTTGGGGAGGAAAGGATACGAGGCGGTGTGCCAATAAGAACGCTAGGCCTCGAAGGGGGGTGGATTGTGAGATCCCATATTGGTTGGGGAGAAGAACAAAATATTCTTTATAAGTATGTGAAAATCTCTCCCTAACAGACGTAAAACATAGGTCACCAATTTGTTGATCTTATAAGTAACATATAAATCAATAATCTTATTATACCATATAGTCGTTTTCGTAATGTTTCCACTAAAAGAATCACAAATCGACAATTCAAGTAGCTCAATAAAACATGTACAAAGTTGAAGATTCAACTTAGAGACCAGATCGAACAAACCTAAGCTAACGTGTCTCCTCGTAAACCGAACATCGAGGCGAAAGATTTGGCTCGATACCTACCATTGTAGAACGTAGAGACGACATGGGAGGAAAAATGAAACATTTTGGTGACCAAAGTGTTGTGTGTTTGAAATTAGAGTGTAAAAAGCAGAATAATTTTGTGTCTTTTCAGACAGCATCTCCCAATCAAACCCAGATTTTTTTCTTGGTTTTTTACCCATTAAAACAAGATCTAGAATGACAGAATCTGTCCTTTTTTTATTATTATTTTTTTTTTTAATTTTTAAAGAAGCCCCATGCATTAAATATTTCTTTCAAAATAGAGGATCTATAAGATTTGCTTACACAGAGACAGAGTGGATTTTTTTTACTGTTGGGTGTTGTGTTTTATGGCCAAAACAAGGGGTAAAAATAGACAATTTTTTTACTTTTTTACTTTACTTACCTAGTTGGTGAGTTAATTTTAAAATATTTATTTTAATTTTTGTATTTCTTAAACATTTTTTATAAGAGTGTAGAAATCTCTCTCAAACAAACATGTTTTTAAGAACGGAAATTCGAAAGAGAAAGCCCATAACGACAATATTTACTAGTAGTGGACTTGAGATGTTACATGATTTGTTATTGAGCTGTTATTGGGAACAACGAAAGAATCTCTTAATACTCATTTTTGTATATCCGAAACAAGTTTGAAAAAACCTGTTCGAATTTTAGCAAAAGTCGCTCTCTTAATTGAAAGGTCTAAGAGAGATGATACCCGCTAGTACCAGATTCAAGACGGAGAGGCCAAAATGAAACAAAATTCAACAAATTCAAGGGTATAATAATTAGATTTATTAAACTAATCTCGAGTGATTAAATTGTTGAATTACTTACGACGACGACCGATCTAATTTTAATCAAATTTGTCGAATTTTGAAAAAATTTAAAAAAGAAATTTATAGAGAAAAAGTGGAGAAATTGACAAAACATGTTGGAATTTGGGAAAGAGGAAATGGCATTTTCCTCGTTGGTCTAAAAAAACAAAACATAATTGTACTTTCCTAAATATTCAAATTATACCATGAACATCTTGCTTTGTTTGCATGCTTCTAATTATTCTTCTAAATAATAAATATAATGTCTTAATTTATTATTTTAATTCATTCCTTTTATCTTACGTTACTCGCTTACAACGCTCCCTCCGGCCCGTTGACTGACTACATTACTCAAAATAAAAAATAGTATTTGTTGGATGATAAAAGTCTCACATCAGCTAATCTAAGGAATGATCATAAATTTATATTCAACTAATACTCTCTCTATTGGTACACGTGGCCTTTTGGGGAAGCCCAAAACAAAGTCATGAGAAGTTATGCTCAAAGTGGATAGTATCATATCATTGTGGAGAGTCGTGTTTATCTAACATGATATCAGAGTCATGCCCTAAACTTAGCCATGTCGAACAAAGGACTCCAAAAAAAAAAAAAAGAGTCGAGCCTTGATTAAGGGGAGGCGTACTTTGTTCGAGGGGAGGTGTTGGATGATGAAAGTCTCACATCTGCTAATTGAGGAAATGATCATGAGTTTTAATCAAGGAATACTATCTCCATTAGTACGAGATTTTGGGAAGCCCAAAGCAAAGTCATGAGAGCTTATGCTCAAAATGGACAGTATCATATCATTGTGGAGAGTCGTGTCCATCTAACATGGTATTAGAGTCATGCCCTAAACTTAACCATATCGAACAAAGGACTCCAAAAAGAAAAAGAGTCGAGGCTCGATTAAGGGGAGACGTACTTTGTTCGAGGGGAGGTGTTGGATGATGAAAATCCCACATCGGCTAATTTAGGGAATGATCATGGGTTTATATTCAAGGAATACTCTCTCTATTGGTACGAGGCCTTAGACAATGTCATACTGTTGCGTAGAGTCGTGTTCATGTCTAACAGTATTTATTTTTTTTACCCTATGTTATTGTTGATTATGCATTATTATCTTAAAAATTTTAGAATAAGGTAAATATAAAATATTATGTGAATTGGGTAAAGTGATATTTAATTATAATGGCTATATGATATGCTTTTGAGGGTAAAAGGAACATAGTTTAAAATTTTATAATTACTTTAAATATGCTTTTATGTGAATAGGTTTGCAGTCAACAGCTACTTCTTTGAATTTTAATAAATTTGGATTATTAATTTCTATAATTAACCGTTATTAAGGAATATTGAGCTGAGTAAAAGCACTTCTTGGAGAAGGAAAAAAGTATCTATTTTTTAATTTTTATTATTTTTTCATTAAAAGTTTTTTTTTTTTCCGAGTAGGAGCGAGAAAATTCTTGGTGGTTGATGTTGCTTGTCGTGGAGACCAGATAATCCGTGATAGTTTAGCTCTCGCAGTTAATGTGACACCCGAGTAAATGAAAGATGCATGAATGAACTGAGATGGGAGTATACCCAGATGGGCGCAATCTCGAGAATAGGATAGCTAAGAAAGATTTAAAAGAATTGAAAGTTATTATTTACACCAACACGATATATCTTCATTTTCAGTAGCTTAATCATAAAAATTTTGAAGTTAAATGTGTTTTGCTGGTAGCAATTCTATATTGAGTGATCTTCTGAAAAAAAATTTAACCTCGAGATTGAATCGTTACTGTGATGTTCCACATTGGTTGGGGAGGAGAACAAAACACCCTTTATAGATGTGGAATTCTTTCACTAGTAGACATGTTTTAAAGCTTTGAGGGGAAGCCCGAAAGGGAAAGCTCAAAGAGGACAATATTACTAGCGGTGGACCTGAGACATTACAAATGGTACAGAGTCAGACACCGAATGATGTGACAATCTTCTCGCTGTTCCTAGAAGAGGGGTAGACATGAGGGGGTGTGCTAAGGGCGATGACCCCAAAATGGGTGAATTTGGTAGGGTCCCACATCGATTAGAGAAAGAAACGAGTGTCAGCGAGGACGCTGGGTCTTAAAGAGGTGTGGATTGTGGTGTCCCACGTTGGTTGGGGAGGAGACCAGAAACTTTCTTATAGCAGACGTGTTTTAAAGTTTAAGGGGAAGCCCAAAAAGAAAAATCGGACAATATCTGCTAGCGATGAATCGGGATCGTTAACGTAGTCGATGAGGTGGATGTTTAAAGATAGTGGCATGATGTGGGAGAAGAAAAAGGAAAGAGAGGGATTTTATTCTCCTACTCACAAATAAAATCTTTTTCTATTTTAGCTAAAGGGGTTAAAAAGTAAAATATTACACATCTTTTTAACCAAAAAGTAAAAAGTTAATAAATTCTCTCTCTAAACCCAAAAAAGCATCAGGAGAGAGAGAGAAAAAACTCACATGATTTTAACTTTACAAGGGACATACAATCCATGGGCTCTCTCTGATTTTATTTTATAATATATATATATATATATATATATATATATATATTTATCAGCCATCCTATTTGAAGATCGCTCTTATTTGGATTTAGTCTCCCTTCATTCATGTATCCCTCCTTTAGTCGGGTGGGTTTGACTTGGAATGACATCTTTGTACGAGAGGAACTACTCTTATACCATTTGTAATGTCTCATGCCTAGAATTCGTATGAGGATTTGAATATGGACTCGTCACCTAATGGCCTCGATGATCCCCTGTGACATGTCACGTTATACTCATCGCTGCTAAGAGTAAAGACTATCTTTGCATGTTTTGTTCTCACTCACATATATTTTTGAAAATTTTTTAGGAGGTCACTTGACATAGGATTACTCCAAGTAAAACAGAGCATTCAGATGCGATTTCGATTCATTCATGTAACTCTCTTTTATTCAGGTGATGCGTTCTCTATTCGTTCATGTCAATCTCGATTCATACATGCACACACTTAGGTAATACAATCTCGTCTTCCCTGTCCGGTCTTGTGGACATCTCTACTCGGGTATCACACATCCACCCAAGTAGGAGATTGAAACTAAGTATTAACATCAAACACGTATTGGAATTATGAACATAGAATAACGACAACTTAGTAACGATGTTTTTTTTTTAACCATATATATTATCAATCGAATTGTTTCAATCAAAATTAATATGAACAACGAACAACTATTTTAAGTCTTCTAAAAAGCGTCGATAAATTATAACCAAACGAGACGGAGACGTTAAAAAGACAAAACAATGGAAAGATGCAATGGTAAGTTAGAAAAATGAAGAAAGGGAGGTGTTTGGGAAGGCAATAACACACTATATTTTGGTTCTTCTTGAAAATGTCACTATCTTATAAGGTTATATGCATGAAGACCATATTATTTTTCTTTACATATTCATTTCACTTAGATCATTATGAAGCTTGGAATGCAAAAAAATCCGACCAAATGGAAAACTTGTACAAGTTATTTTCCTTTCTCGAGAAACAAACGTTCGAGTTAGATAAAAATTCAAGATAGGAATTGCTTTATATATACTCATGGATTTGTATGTATTTATCAAACGTGATCGGAAGGATTCATCTATCCCTCTAAGGTCGAGACGAGTCAAAGTTTGGCCAAAATCAACGTCAAATCTACTATTATTATCAAGTTGTGAATGACAACGTCCTTGTGTGACAGCTTTTTGTGTTACTTATGTTGAAGAAATTATTTGAGTGTAATAAGACAAAACGAGGGCGGTAGTTGCTTTATCTTTTTTTTCATTCAACAATATTTATTAATGGTTTACTCTAGCACAACAGTCGTTGATAGGAGCTGACTCGACGTCATGTGCAAAACCACATATTGGCTTAGTCCAGTGCGGCACGAAGCTGCTGACGTCGAGTCAGCTCCTATGTTGCTAGCTATGCCCTGTTTGGTCTCCCGATATTGTGGAGGTTTCGTAGCGCATCATGAGAACCGGGCTAAGGGACGGTTGAGCTACTCAAGCAAGCCGCCCTACCTTACGACAAATTATTTAAATTTATTTTAGATACTAGATTTCAAATGAGGGTATTTTAGTCCCTAACCAAAAATTTATTTGTTTGTTTTTTCTAGGCCCATAAGCATTTTTTTAAGGATTGGAAGAATTTTGGGCCCATTACCATTTTCTTTCCAAGACCCAAAATAATTAATATCTATTTTGTTTTTTATTTTCATTTTTTACATACCAAAGTTTGTTGACATGTCACATTGTCACCTAGACTCTTTCTTTATTAGGCTATTTTTCATGGATTTTAAAGTCGATTTTCGGGTAGCTTATACGACACGAGGGGCAAACGTGAAAGAAAAAATCGCTTCGAGGCCAAAATTCAATACATCGTAGTCTGCCAATGCAACCTAAAGCTAGGGTTTAATAGTCTCTCAATGGAACATAAATGTTAAATCACCAAGTATAGCAAAAAGTCAAAAATACCCCTACGTAATTCCATCCCATGTCGCCTCGAGGGACATAGAGATGTAAAAAATGTCCGTCTTGTTCTATTACCAAACATGATTGAAAGAAGCTTATCTAAAACTCGAGCTATTACCAAACAAACATGATTGAAAAATGTCCAAACTGTTTTATAGTACTTTTTATTACATTTTACTAATAATATCAAACTGAGGCTTCCTTTGACTAAGCCAAACATTCAGAATAGATTATTAATGGAACCATATTGCTCCATCCAAGCTTTATTTGTTCTTCAGTTTCAGATCAGAACAGTCTAAACATGGACGACTTGGATGATCTTTGGCTACCTAGCCAGTGCTGCATGTGAACTCCAATGGCGTCCAAGTACAAGCTGCTCCTCCCATGGAAGCCAACCACCTTCCCCTCGGTTATCGTCGACGTGAAAAAGGTTCCTATCTCCTCCCCGAACGGTCCGAACTTCCCCCTACTTGTGTGTAAAGAAAGCGACTTTATAACTTGTTGTCGTTCATCTTTACCGATGTAACCGTAATATCCCGAGATACAAGTCAACACTTCGTGTGGATAATCCAGCTTTACCTGCAAACACACAGCCGGAATAAATGTTTGTGTGATTGTGAATGCGAGGAAGAATCTACATCGATCACGATGCGAGCAACAAAATATCGGTACCCGATGCATGGTCATTCCACCGTTTCCTCCATGCTTAACTGACCAAACTGATTGCTTGTTTCGATCATATTCAATTTGGATTGAACAAAAAGCTTCAAGAGATTTGGTCAGGTATATTTGTTTAATGCCAGAAAACACTCCATCGTCCCACGGTTTTCCTCCATCCCCACCCCACGGTCCCGGTCCACAGGGAGCTGGTTCTTTTACTACACGAGCCATCTACGAAACAAGTAACCAATTCATGAGCTCTTTCATGACCAGACTTATCTAAAATGATGAGCTGAGTTAGAAAGTACCTCTTCAAGTGGTCTTCCATTTGAAGGAGCAAGTTTCTTAGTCCAATGAGCGCTCTCGTTTTCGAGAAGTGGTTGTGTAGCAGGAACGATATCACCAGAGGGAGGACGAGACGCCGGGGTCACCTTTCCTTCTACTATGTGCACACCGAGCGCATCGAGGAACAGACCTTTCCTGCCATGAAATCCAATAATCTTCCCCTCTTTGACGTTGGTACTGAAAGGGGTTCCTTGTGCCTCCCCAAATGGTCCGTACTTGGCTTTTGTAGTATGGAATGTAAGCGACTTGATAACGTTAGGTCCCATGTACATTACAGGACCATAGTGTCCAGTTACATGAGTCAAGATTTCGTATGGATAGTCGAAGATAACCTGCAAAACGGTTGCTACAACTTAAGAAGACGAGAAATGTAATAACTAAAACCCGAAATAACATGTCGTCTGATCGAATATGTAATGGCCCAAGCCCACCGCTAACAGATATTGCCCTCTTTGGGCTTTCCCTTTCGGGCTTTCCCTTAAGGCTTTAAAACGCTTGCTAGGGAAAGGTTTCCACACCCTTATAAAGGGTGTTTCGTTCTCCTTCCCAACCAATGTGGGATATCACAATTCACCCCTTTCAGGGCCTAGCGTCCTCACTAGCACTTGTTTCTTTCCCCAATCGATGTGGGACCCCCACCAAATCCACCCCCTTCGGGCCCAGTATCTTTACTGGCACACTGCCTCGTGTCTACCCCCCTTTGGGGAATAGTCTCCTCGCTGGCACATCGCTCGATGATTGGCTCTGATACCATTTGTAATGACCCAGACCCACCGCTAGTAAATATTGTTATTTTTGGGCTATTCCTTTCGGGCTTCCCCTCAAAGCTTTACATCGCGTCTGGCAAGGGAAAGGTTTCCACACCCTTATAAAAGGTGTTTTGTTCTCCTACCCAACTATTATAGGATATCACAGAATAATATGTGGAAAATACATTCACCTTGTCATGTTTGAATCCTACATTTCCACCAGCCCGGCTTCCCCATATTGATTCCTCATCGCAAGCATACAGAGCTTTTATGTATACGATCCCGGCATTGCGCGATATATTAATTTGTCTAACGCCAGTGTAACATCCATCATCAAATGCAGTTCCTCCTGAGCCACCCCAGGGTCCACATGGCACAACATTTTCAGCTTTAGAAGGTCCTTTCTTAACAGGCCTCTGAGATATATGACCATTCCCAACCATTATTTTTCTATCTGAACGAGTAGACGTGCGAGGGAAAAGAAACATACTCGAAACGACGAGACGATTAAAGGAAACTCACCTTCGTTATGGATTCATCATCACTTGATTCTGAGCTTGAGGAGCTTGATGGAAGGGGCTTTTTGAGTTCATCCTTCTGCTTTACAGCAAGAACAATATCATAATTTTGGCCAACACTTCCTTGTATAATTGAATAGCCTTCACTTTCTGTCTTAGTAGCAACATAACTCTGTGATTGAACAATTGCTTTAGATGGCGTTTGTATTGACATAGGCTTTAGGTAAACTCCAATGGCATCCAAGTACAATCCACTCCTGCCATGGAACCCGACAAGCTTGCCCTCGGTCGTTGGGAATGAGAAAACTCTTCCGAGTTCGACCCCGTAAGGTCCATACTTCCTTTTGTTGCTCATAAATGTCAGGGATCGAACGAAAATTTGGTCATATGACACAAAGCTACCGTAGTGTCCTCGGATCATCGTCAAGTACTCGTCCGGGAAGTCAAGTTTCACCTGAAAAACAAAAAATGAAACTACATAGTACACAGAAAATTGTGTTTTTCATCAATGATCAAACTAGAACCAATTTGTACCGTGTCTGTTTTAGTGCCACCATTTCCTCCATGTCTATCACACCAAATTGGCGTTCCCTTCACATCATATTGAATCTTAATGGAGTCGATACCAGCTCCATGAGAAATTACCAACTGCCTGATACTCGAAAAAACCCCATCATCCCACTTGTTCCCACCTGGTCCTCCAAAGGGTCCAGCCGAGACTGGCTTGATCTTTTGAGAATCATCAAAACTCTGCTGAGGAAAAACAAAGTTATAACTAGCTGGCTAAAAAACTATAACGGTCCAGTCCCACCGATAGCAGATATTGTCTTTGGGCTTTCCCTTTCAGGCTTGCCCTCAAGGTTTTTAAAACGTCTGCTAGGGAAAGGTTTCCACACCCTTTATAAAGGGTATTTCGTTCTCCTCCCCAACCAATGTGGGATATCACACAAACAAACAAACAAAGTGTATGCAATTAATAATACAAAACAAATGAATAGCAGCTACCATTCTTGCGACAGAAACAACAATGAAAGAGTGAAGAGAGCAACAATTCTCTTAAACTTTGATGCCTGTGCACAACTGCAGTGTGCAATACCAATTGTGAGGATTTAAAAGCTTTTCAAATGGAGTTAGATTCCAATCTTCACTACGGAGGGGAAAGATTTAGTAGAGAATCTAATGTTAAAGAAAACAGAACAAATAGTGGCTCTTCGCAATGGAGTCTAATCTGTTTGGCATCAGTATTATTCTCATCGACATTAGCTTAAAATATGGTGATTCGCTTAGTATCCTAGGTATGGAATCTTAACTAGAGACGCACCAGCTAATCATTATGCACATTCCATCTAATAAACAAACATTGAAGGCAAAAATTTAATAGTGTGAAATTTGACCTTCCGCAGCTAAAAGTGACTTAAGTAGGCACGATGTGAGATCTCACATCGGTTGGAGAGGAAAACGAAGCATTTTTTATAAGGGTGTGAAAACCTCTCCCAAGCATACGCGTTTTAGAAACCTTGAGAGGAAGTTCGGAAGGGAAAGCCCAAAGAGAAAAATATCTGCTAGCGGTGGGTTTGGACTGTTACAAATGGTATCAGAGCCAGACACCGGGCGATGTGCCAGCAAGGAAGTTGAGCTCTGATGGGGGTGGACACGAGGCGATTAGAGAAGGGGTGGATTGGGGGGTCCCACATCGATTAGAGAAGGGAACGAATGCCTGCGAGAACGCTGGGCCCCGAAGGAGGGTGGATTGTGAGATCCCACGTCGATTGGAGAGGGAAACAAAATAATTTTTATAAGAGTGTGAAAACCTCTCTCCCGAGGACGTGTTTTAAAAACCTTGAGGGAAAACCTAGAAGAAAAAGTCCAAAGAAAACAATATCTGCTAGTAGTAGGTTTGGGCCGTTACACATGAATTTCCAAGAAATCTCCATCTTGATTTGTCCCTACATATCAACCCCTCCTCACTCTCCGAGAAGGATGCCACATTGGCCCATATCATCTTGGACCTCTAATCCGGTTTAGATGCACAAGCTTGCTTCATATGTGCGTAACTATCATGGACTCTGCAGAAAATGATACCCGATTAGTAAGAAGATGCTTGACAATCAATAATAGTATGTTCACTCGTAAAGGAACATGACCGAACTATTATTAAACACCCATCTTTAAGAAGATTTCTGATAACCAAAGGTAAATATAAATCAAGATGGACTGGACATATCAGTCTCGGGTAAGCATCAGCTAAGCTAAGGAGGTAGCTTGATCAAGATTAAAATCAAAAGTAAACGGATTCGAATAGGAAACGGATTACCTTGATGATCAAGATTAGAAGTAAAGAAAACTCGTGATTCGAATCACTCCACAACATAGTTTGATCAAGACTTGAATGAATCTAGCATGCAAATCTAAACACAAGAAAGGTAAAGGCATGTATGTCTACATGCTCGACTAACCACTATTAAGAATCTATATGAATTATATCAATGAAGAAATAGAATTATTAGTAAACACAGAAAAAAGAAAAGGAAAACAGAAAAAGAATCAGTACCATGAATCAAATACTTCAAATTCAATATGTTCTAATCAAATTTATTCCCTTAACTGTAAATAGATCGTGCACCTCTCCAAATGTGTTATGAACGAATTATTCATATAACAACTCATCCCACATCGAATATGCACCTATCATTGCCGACCAAGTGTACAAATCCTCTCAAGCAATTCATCAAACACCTTATGTGCATCAAAATCCACATTTCGCATATATGCTTATTAGCTTCGTATATACACATACGAACATGGAGCTCACGACCCACTTCAATAGAATCAACATCTATGCAAGTTCGAAGCAAATTGCTATACGCGTGGGTGCTTACCTTAGACCCAATTTTAGACATTGCATCAATGGCTATTATGGCTGGTCGGAGGAGCCCATTGCTGCAATGTTAACTCAAATGGTCGTGTCATTGAACTTTGTAGTAATTTTCTGGGTGAAAGATACTGAATTTTTACTTGGTTTTGAGGAGAATTTAAGGGTTGGAAACTTCTTTGGTTCACACGCTGTTATTATTATTATTATTATTTATTTTTATTTTTTTGAAATAGATGTACTTTTCAAAAAATACCCATCTAATTTTGTAATTATTTTCAAAAATAACTTTTAGATGAATATAAACATTAAATATTTGAGAGCTAAATATCTAGAATTTAAATATTTAAAAACAAACCACCTTTGTTAAATACTATTATTATTGTTAAATAAATCAACGACCTATTAGACACAAACTTAACAATTTTAAAAAATTCTTAACCTTTGTTAACCTTCTATTATCGAGCACAAAATTAAAAGTTGAAGATCAAATAAACACAAATATAAAATTTCATAACGAATATTCTCATCTTCCCCTTAATCCCACATGAAAAATAAACATCCCACAATTGTATAAATCAGCCAATAATCAGCAAGCAGTAACCCTTTAGTATCTTTTTTTCACTATTTTATGCTTGAAAATAAAAAAAATTAAAAAAGAATTGAAGGGTGCATAAAATAAATATAAAACTTTAGAAGTTGAGCAACATATTTTAGGAAGGTTTTTTTAATAATGATTTTAGTGAGTTGAGATTGATTCCCAACGGAATAAAGGGCCAAATTTATCTGGTCCAAAAATAAAGACATTTTTTAAAAAATATTTAAAAATAAAAAATCAAGGAATGATTTGTCTTGGATTGATGGAAATTATAGTTAGATTCTAAATTGAATTTGACCAATCAACCCATCAACATTCTCTCTAATCCTTACCTCTTAAATTTATCCTCCATACTTTATGCTTCAAATTAATCTCTCTTTATTCTTTTAATTAGTTACAAAAACTTTACATTCCAATAAATATATATATATATATATATATATATATATATATACTTTCCGAGGGCATTTTTATTTAATCTATCGATTTCAAAATATAATATTTTAAAGTTAAATTACAAAATTATTTCTTTAGCGAATTATTATTATTATTATTATTTCTCTTCTTTTCTTTTGACGACGACTAGAGAAGGGAAAAACTTGCAGGATATGAAGGTAAGTTGAAGGCATTTTATAAATCCGAGCTGTTAAAAGAAGAGATTACCCCTTTCCATATGCGCTGATGAGCTCTATCGCGGCCACACAGCCACCCTGTTCTTCTGTAAACCATAGATTAATAATCAACTTATGATATTCGTTCTCTTTTTCCGAATCTTTATTATGACCCTAACAGGTACATCTACATTCAATTTCGTGTTTATAAAGTCCTTAACATAAGAGATAGACACGGAATTAAAAGTTTCAAAGTTCAAACACATATTAGACATGAACGGAATGTTGACCATTCTTCTCACAGGAATCAATTCTTCTTAGTTACTATGAGAATAAGCTGAAACAACATCATCCATGGAGAATTAGATAAGAAATAGAGTCAAGATCTTACGGAAGCCTGCTGGCATGAGACTTCAGAATTCAACAAAATTCCTGCCCCATTAATTCTACATTGAAACCTGCAAGTTCTAGATAACAAGAACCAGAATCATCTTTCAGAGTTCTGCATATAATCCAACTTCTTTTAGGGAAAACAAAACCGTGGACAGAAGCATCATTGCACCATACTAATCATCGAGGCCACATCCTCCAAGCTGATTGTGTCTAAGCAGTAGAAGTAGTAGCAGCAGTTGGAGTCTTGAGCTCTTCTATTTTTTTCAACAGCGCCGATTTATCAGCACCAACAATCTTGTGAACTGTTTCCCCTCGTTTCATGAAAACAAATGTCGGCATTGCATTGATCTCCCACTCGGTAGCAACAGTCTGCAGAGAGAAACAGAAGCCTTTGTTTGAGGGGAAAAAAGATCAATAAAAACGAAAACAGCTCCACTGCATGCTACAGTAATCAGCAATATCGCGATGGAACAGAAGTGTTGACATATGATATCATAGATTGAGAAGAGTTAAAAGAGATTAAATATATTTACGTTCAATTCATCGACGTCCACTTTCAGGAAAACGACACCGGGATGATTCTTAGCCAATTCTGAGAAATATGGAGCAATTGTACGGCATGGCCCGCACCAGGAAGCAGTAAAATCCACAACAATCTATCAAACAAAACTAAAGAATCATCAGGAACAAAAAAATGGACACAAACTGTAATACAGAATCACTCAAGTTCGGCCAATGCAAAATAGAATAATCAACAATTTCTTACCAAAAAGAACGAAAATAGTAACAGAAAATGATTAAACAATAATACAAATCAAAAGATTCCACAAGACGTTATAAATGAAAACTCAAAAGCATCAATTTCAACACGATCATTCAATCGAGATAAATCGAATATTACTTCTAGCGTAAGAGAGATCAGAAACCCTAACGAATCCATAGCGATTTTTACCAAAACATCGAACGATCTCCTAACAAGCAATCATAAACCTGAAAATGCTTCAATACACACATCCAGTAAATCCAAAATCCGATCGAAATCAATTGAAATCTAGAAATGAGGAGCCTGAAAAACAAAAACAAAAACAAAAACAAAAACACGATACCAGTTTTCCGGATTCCTTCGCTTTCGCTAAATGAGCATCCCATTCAGCTTTCTTATGGCATGCGATCACTTGCCCTTCTTCAGCCATTGGGACAAACAGAAATCGGTTTCTGCGTATAAGAAAACTGCAACTATGGAGAGAGATGGCGACGGGCAGGTATTTATATAGCGAGCAGTGGGCAGTAAGTACCCTTTGCCTTTCTTTCGGTCGGGTAGAAAAATAAGAACATGTATGCCCTCAAAGAAAATCGCAATTTTTAGGTTAAAATAGCATTTAGTTTTAATTGTTTATTTATGGTTATTTTAAATAAATAAATGAACTAAACACTATTGTACTTTCCACTCTAAAATTTATATATTTTCTTAAATAAATATAAATATGATTAGTTTAAAATTAGTTTTTTAATTAAATCACAGTTAGATTATTATGATTTTATCAAATTCAATAATAAAAGTAAAATAAAATTAAGATTTATAACAAAATATAGGCTAAATTTAGCAATTTGAAAGTATAAAAATTAAAATAAAATGAGTAACTTTAACCTAATTTTTTATTTCGTAACACCTAATTGCATAATTTTTTTTTTATATAATTAATATTAAATTAAATTACAAGGAACGTTTTTTAAAAATTCAAATATAAAAAAATGAAATCTCAACCATACAATAGAAAAATGAAAATAATAAATAAATAAATAAATAAATAAACGGGAAGTTGGAAAGGAGACAAGGAATTGGATTCTCCGCTGTGGCCCATGATGAGAGTACTTCGGCCCATCATTTGATAATCTGTGGGCTCCTGAGGTGCAAATTCGGCCCACAAAGCTGAGCCCATTAACAAGCAATTAAATATAATTAAAACAAAATAAAAAGCAAAAAACAAGGGAAAAAAGAGAGAAAAATCCCGTCCACCAGGAAAAAGAAGATTCTGGAATTTTCTCAATTTTTCTTTTTCTTTTTAAAAACATCTAATTTACAAATAACGGAATAGCAGCCGGAGCAACTTACAGGATATTAAAAAGTGTTTTTTTTCTATAAATGATCCATTTATATTAGATGCCTTAATTTAAGTAACACGAGTACATTTCTACCCAAAACTGATCAGACTTGAATTATTGAAACAAAACCAACTATTCTATACTATTTTACTTGGTTTAATTCAATTAATCATATTAACATGTACTTATTCTCTTGAGATTAGACGTTCTTGCACTAGCAAATTAAAATAATACAAATAATTGAAGAAACGAATAGGGGAAAGCCAAGATGCATGGTCATGGATATAACAGGGGTACACAAAGATGCTTGGGAATATATCCTCCTATTATAAACTTTATTCTCATTCCCATTTCCTCATACAAAGGGCCCCAAAAACCTTACCCAACCTATTAAGCATGAAGAACAGCATTGGAGAGACGAGAACAAAATTGACAAAGTTGACAAATTCAACCAATCATAAAACTTAAAACCCTTTTCAGAATCAAGACATTTCTAAACATGAGAGAAAAAAAATGAAAAAGTAAGCTGTTCTCAAGTAATCTGTAAACCTTGAGGCAACAATCACTGAATTCAAAAGCTTGATGAACAGAGATATATTATGAAACATTAAATCTTATTCTACATATATCGTTTACAAACATTCTTAACACAAGTAAGCATCAAAGAGAGACTGTCATGGAATCCACAAGAACAACAAACCCCAAAACCAGAATCGTTATTACAACACAATGATAATATTAAGAGGGAAAATGATCATCAAAGCTGACCATCTAAGAAGCACAAGTAGCAGGTGCAGCGCTTAACTCCAGTACTTTAACCCCTAGCTCCACCTTGTCCGCACCAACAATCCTGTGAACTTCGTTTCCTCCTTTCAGGAAAACAAAGGTCGGCATCGCTGTCACCTCGAACCTCTTAGCAATTTCCTGCATAAAAACAGAACAGTTCAATTCCACTGCATCAACAATATAAAAGTTTGGAAGAGTTGAAGAGGCTCAAATTTCTTTACCTTGACATTATCGACGTCCACTTTCAAGAAAGTGACATGGACGTGCGCCTTAGCCAACTCTGCGAATACTGGAGCAATGAAACGGCATGGCGGGCACCAGGAAGCAGTAAAATCGATCACAATCTATCAAAAAAGATTTCATATACATCAGAAACAAAAAGAACCCCCAAAACTAAAGAGGTGAAACTGTATTTAGTCCAGTGAAGTACTACTGTCAAAGGAGGATGGAATCATCAAATTCAATGACACGAAACGAGTAACACAGAAGAATTGAAGAGTAGAAATCATAAAATCTGAGGCAATCAAACATAACTAGCCAGGACACAATAAGTTAGATTAAACAAAAGAAACCTAGACACAGTTACAAGTCAATATCATACCCTAACGAATCCATCACGATTTCCTCCAAATCATGAAAAATCTCCAACAATAACAACACAAATCCAACAAAAATCGTTTGAAATGACAAGAACATCAGGAAATCACAAATTGGAAAGCAGAAATGGAGAGGAAAAGAAAACAAAAATCATACCAGTCTGCCAGATTCCTTCTCTTTATCGATTATCGCATCGAATTCTTCAGCATCGCGAAGTGGAATCACTTGACCTTCAACAGCCATTGCTTCAAAGAGAAACGAGTGTGTATCCTGCAAAGGTCTCACTGTATTTGAAAACGAAGCGATGAATGAAGACGAAAGGAGCGAGGGGGATTATATAGAGAGAGAAATGGCCCAAGATATCGTTCGTATCATTTTACCAAATTACCCTCATATTTGAGTTTTATTACGAGATAATCTCAATGGTTCATGACGCGAGCGCCTATGCCAAAAATGTGAATGCATTTATCCATAATAATGTCGTTATTCTGAATGGGAACAGATAAAAAGAATAAAAATAAATAAATAAATAAATAAATCATTATAATTCATTTTTATTTTAAAATGCCTCAAATTTCCCATACCGTATAATTCAACGGTCAATACATTTATACTCAATGAATTTTAAAAAAATAATAAACATTTAATCTATGGTTAATTATTTTAATTATCTTGAAAAAAATTAAAGTTCATTCTAAATTCATTCATATAGTTTGAAATATTTAAGAGCATATTTGATTGATATTTATTTATTTTTTTAAATAGAGTTAGTATTTAAAGTTTATACTTCTTTTTTTTTTAAAAGAAAATATATATTCGATAGTACGTGAAAATACAAAAAATAAAAGTTATTTGTTAAATTCTTTTGATAGTCCGCACGTTTGATTTAGATAAGATATTAGGCACGTTCTTATCTATTTGATTGAATTACTATTTTCTAGATTTTAAGAAAAATTAGATACTCGTAAACGGTGGTTCAAACCATAAATGTTTGTTTCTCTTGTATGATCCATCTGGCATGAACCCGCCTCGTTACAAATTGGAAAGGAAGTAGAGTGATATGTGGAAATCACTACAAAGGAGTAACATTCGGATTAATTTGTTGATCGAATATCTCAAGGCAAGAATATTGTTTGAGATTCGAATCAGTCCACAAGCAAGATCGATCATGTCTAGCTTAAATGATTCTTGTTGATCAAATATCTCATGCAAGAATACTTGTTTGAGATTCGAATCACTCCACAAGCAAAATTGATCATGTCGAGTTTAATGATTCTACATGCAATCTAAACTACATACAAAGAAACTTAGTCATTGGCTAAAGAAAAGCACAAATATTTTTTTTATACATTTTTCAAGTCTCTTACAAATACAAACAAAAAAGTCTTAAAATACATTAAATGTGACAGTGGATTGAAATATCTTTTGATAATTTCAACAACATTTTCAGGAAAAAAAATTACCCGTGTGTCAACTTGGCCTCCATCCTAATTTCTTTATTTTTAAATACTTAAATTTAAAATTTTATGACATATTATTTTCAATTATAAGAGATAAAATTATTTATTTTGACTTTTTGACCCTATAGTGTACGATGGATCTCAAAAAATATGAAAGATCTTCCTCCAAGCAGTACATACGATTTTCATCGAACATGGCTTTTCAAAACTACTCCTCTATAAGGAGCAAGGTATTGTAACGCAATAGAGTTGCATAGATTGATCCGAAATAGCGGAGAAAGAACGGAAAGTCATTCCTAACTCCGTCCTAAAGATTTAGTAACAGAAAAGCATAAAAAAAACTACGTTGGAGCATATGAGGCAGCAATATATGAACCAAATTTCTCTTACAACTAATCACAAACATTCAAATCCAAACCAATCCATAATATTCAAGAACAAATCTATGCATCGAGTAAGATGCAACTTTAAGAGCTTGAAATGCAGCAGTCTGATCAGAAACCTAAGAAAAGTGACGAGCCAGAACCCGATAAAACTCCGAGGTCGGCCGAGGTAAGAACTTTCCAAAGCTAATCCATGGAAGCTCTAGGACCATAGCAGAAAGCTAATGACTGAACCTCCTTTTTAGACTTCAAATATAGCTAAAAGCTTGTAGAATACAGTGGTAGCTAGAATGGCAGCGTTTATTCATTCTACAAATGGAGCCATTTCATAGAATTCAAACCTTATAAAGAGCTCCAAGAACCGGATGTTCCCGAAGGACTCCGATTCTCGAGTGCTTCTGTTCTTGTACCGTTCATCGTTCTCTGCCAAGATGATATTTCTGTTAGCCCAGAATAAGGAACAGAGAGAACATAGACAAAGAAACACTTCAAACATATGACTTCGAACATGTTTCAACTGATTTTTTGATGCATTCTTGGAAAATGTTCTTTTGTTAGAAGTTGTGTCGCTATGCAGCTGTAAACAGGTGAGTGTTTGGTATGGTTACTAACTATTAGATTGAGACAGAGTGTGACAATTGTCAATCAGGTACAAGAAAAGATGGTAACTGTAACGGTCAAAACCCATCACTAGCAGATATTATCCATTTTCGGTTTTCACTTTCGGGGTTCCCCTCAAGGTTTTAAAATGCGTCTGCTAGGGAGAGGTTTCCACACCCTTATAAAAAATGTTTCGTTCCCTTCTCCAACCGATGTGGGATCTCACAATCCACCCCCCTTCGGGGCACAACGTTCTCGCTGGCACTTATTCCCCTCTCCAATAGATGTGGGATCTCACAATCCACCCCTTTCGGGGCCCAATGTCCTCGTTGGTACACTGCCTGATGTGCTTTGATACCATCTATAAGAGCCCA